AAATGTCTTTGGCGTGTTTGATTTATACGTCTGCCTTACAAATTGATTTGCAATTGCCATGCGTCTTCGATTCATAAACACACACATAACGTCGCCAAGTCTTGGAGACAAAGATTGGGGGAGACAAAGATTGAGGGAAACAAATACTGGCAACCGCTGATGTTAAACTCAAGAAGTAAGCACCCAAGTAGAGAGCGGGTCGCGCTTAAGCACTCAAAACAATATATATAGTTTAGAAAATTAAGAAAACTTTACTTTATAAAAAAAAAGCCGAGTGTTCTTGCCGAACGCACACATTTTCTCAGAGCTTAATCCAATAAGAAGCTATGCAAATGTGGCCGTTGAGGCGACATCCAGGTGGTTCCATGAACTCATCTACCAAGTTTCTAATGCCAAACACGACAAAGTTCACGCCCGTTGTGTTGTCAGAGTAGCAAAAACAAGAGCAAAAACAAAAGCAACAATCGAGGGGAAACAACAAAAAACCATTTAAATTATATTGAGTTTCTTTTTGTGTAATATTTGGTTGTTGCCTTGCGAGATTTCATTTACATACATATGTTTGTACTTAACACGTGTCGCTCATTTTATTTTATTTTTTTTTCTTGTCTAATTTATTTATTTTATTTTGTTTTCCCTCATTTTTTATGCTCACTGATGTTATGACCGAAAGGGGAAAACTGAGGCAATTAGTTAATGAGAAACCTTTTGCAAATGTTTTAAGCCAAATGCAAATATACACACAGAAAATGGGGGGGGGGATGAGTGGATAGGTGCCGAAAGAGATACGAGATCCGAGTTACGGCGCCTGTAGAAGACACTCGTTTCGTTCTTAATCAAATTACAGCTCTAATTAATTTCAATTGTTGCGGAGTCGGGCTCAGGCAGCAAATGAACTTTGCCCCAACTGCGACGACTGTGGAAGTTGCGCAGCAAAAATTTGGGTCAACATAGAATTGGAAAAGAATTTAGAATTACTACAAATTCTATATATTTTCGAAGTCAATTCAATTCTTAGCTATACTTGATTTTTACTTGAGATTTAGTTATTAAACTAATTGACTCTAAATTTAGTATTTATTCATTTTATTTTAAGTCTATGCCTAATAAATTTCCTTCTGTATATACAAATATTATACATTTTTACTTTATATTCCACTGTGCGTGGATTAAGCAACGCCAGTCGCAAGTTCATTACAAACAATTGATTTGCCAGAACGGCGTAAAACTTGGCACAGGTAAAGCAAGGGGAGACGACGAGGAGTGTCGTCAGTGGTAAGCAAGCAAGCAAGCCGTTTCATTCAAAGGCAGTTCCATATAGTGGTTGTGGATACCGTCAGCGTCGTGACGCCAACTCACAGGGCAACCACATCGACGACGTCAGCGTCTGGCCCTGACCAGCGCAATGTGGTTGCAACTCTAGACAAAAAGCCAAGTCAGCAAATGCGGCTACCTAACAAAAACCAGAGAACGAAGAGAGTTAAAGTGTGGGAGGGGGGAATTCAGAATGAGTATTCTGACTGGATGTTGTTGGTGCTGCGATGGCAGCGGAACGGCTGCCGTAGGGCATAAATAATGAAAATATGCAAGCTGCTGCTGCAGCTGATTGAAACTGAAAGGCAGAGCTAGTCAGACAGCCAGCAAGCCAGGCAGGAGCTAAGGGAGGGACGGGACTGGACGGGACGGCAAGGTAGTGCATGGGAAATCTTTTGAAAAAGGATTAACATTAAAATGTGTTTGTGTGTGCCTGAAAAGTTGGGATACCAGGTTTGAGTAATGTGCGCACATAATGAGTTACAAAGCGCGCTAATGAAGTACTCGAGCTACAGACAATATACTACAATAGCCAAGCCAACTCCAAGTAGAGTGCACACTCTCCCATTTCAAAATGTTGCGCAAATGTTTCATGCCAAATAACTGGGTAGGACAGACAACAATGAGAAAATCTTTAAACCCGAATGCAACTCAGCACTCGCTTCTAAATGAGCATAAACAAACAAAAGCGGGCCAATTGCCAAAACGGAAGCACAGCAGACGCCAAGAACACAAAGAAATAGCAACAAAATGTACACCAAGATGTTGAAGATTGAAACACGCCGTAAACAAAACGGCCGTTGTCCTCAGAGTAGACTGAATCGAAGGAGAGCACATGGAATAGAAAATGCAATTTTTGTAGAAATCGCGAAAATCTCAAATAAATATTTGCTGAATATACATTCATATGGGTCCCGCTGTTCCGGTTACACATAAGAAGTACTGAAGTAATGAAAAAAGTAGTGCTCTTTTTAGGCGTGCTCGACCAAAAGACACTCTGTACATAGGCTTTAAGTTGTCAAAAATTCTGGGTTTTTGAGGAGAACAATTAAATAATACAATTTGTTTATTCTTTATTCCAATCGAGCTTGGGAACTTTCCCGTAACAACGCCATAATAAAAATGTCCGTAAACTTATATTGATAATAAACTCATGCTGTGGTTGATTATTAGCTGTTTAGCGCTGATTTGATTTAGTTGTAGTGCGCACAGTGGTGTTTATATATATACTATTTGTATAGTTATGTCTGTTTGACTGACTGCTCATGGCACTTAAGTTGATTTGATTTGAGCATTTGTTGTTATTGTAACAGCAAACATATATGTATATATACACAAACACATACTCATGCACAAAAGCAACACACACATTTGTTGCTACTATTTCCAATGGTCCCGCGGCGTCTGTGGCATACACGTAATTTGTTAAATAAAACGCAAGCTTGCGGTTATATTTTGTGCTTTGTGCTGTCGTTAACTTTGTCCAACATTGGATCTGCCATTGTTGTAGCAATAATAACAATAACAATGATAATAATAGCAACACAATATGTGATGGCTAATAAACTTAATGTGCGCAAATTTAGCGCTCAATTAAGTCAGACATTTTTTGGTTGATTTAATTGCTGTTGGCAATGTGAGAAATTCCCAGGAAATACTTACACACATACTACATGTATTTGAATTGCGATTGCTTACCTGTAACGAAAAAAAGATAAAGGCAAATTTATGAGATTTAATTCAAAGATAAAATCATTTAAGGGGATTACGTTGAATTGCAAACAAATATAACATAAGTAAAATCTTAAATATTTGCAGAGCAAATCAAACAAATGGAGTTGCATACAGATTTAGAAGTATGATTAGTATATCATGTGAATAATGAATTCCCACATTAGAAACCACAAAATGCCGTTCAATTGTGGTGCAATGAGTTATACACAAAATGTAACATTTGTTTTTAATTAGTGGCATTTTCCAACCTGTTTGTTTCAAACCATTTATTTTAAGATGCATCTTGGGTTAAAATGAGCCAGAGAATGTGGGGTATCGGCTCCAACTGGTACACAAGCACATTGACTAACCTACTGACGACTTAACCCGCACACACATAAATCTTCCTGCGACAGGCGTTCTGGGCTGCTGAGATACGGGCCAACCAAGCAAGCAATCTTAAGACTCTTCTGGCCTTCGCAAAATTTATTATAAAATTCAATCTTTATTTTTTTTCTTACTCTGCCAGCTAGCTAAGCGAACTTTTGCCAACGTGTCCAGACAAATCCGCAGCCGACCACCAACCTGGTCCTCGCAGCGGAAGTTTAAGTAAAATAAAAAGATATGTACACACACATATATATATATATATATGTATTAGAAAAAAGAGAATACCAGGCAAGGTATTTAAATCGCTTTTAATGGAAAAATATGCAAAGCAGCGGCGTCAGCCTACGTAAGCTAGTTGGTCTGCTCGCCTCTTGGGGGCTGTGTTGCAAATCTGTGCGGACTATTGGCCCGTCAGGTTCCAGCATCCAGCATCCAGCATCTAAGAGAATCCCAGTCAGGCCGCCCCTTCATTAAAATTCCAAACATTTTCACTTTACCAAGACGCGCGCACACGGAAATGCTGACACACTTTAAAACAATTTTCTGGCATTCTTCCCGCTTTCTGTGGCAGCAAGGGCAATGTGGCAACGCAGGACATATGACAAACTTGACGTAGCATGTCAAAAGATTTCAAGGCAATTTTCCACTGACAGGGAGAGAGAGAGCAGAGACACCCACAAAAAAATAGAGAGGAGAGACAGACAGACAGCAGACAGCCGGAGTTGTCAGTCAGCAAGACGACGTGTGTCTATGCAGTGCAAACAGTGCTGGGAAGTGTTGAAAACTTTGACTGTACCGTCAAGTATGCAATGGTAATTTTCTACACCATACACACACACATACACACACACACACACGTGCACGCACGCACACACGCACACACGCTCGCAAAAAGTTTTTCGAACAGTGAAATAAATTGAAATTCAATTGGTACAAGAACATTTCAAATTAGAACATTTTTTGTGTAACTTGTTTGTGTGTACGTAGATGTTGATTAATATAAGCATTTGCCCATACTGCAGGCAGTGGAACGTTTACGGAAAGCAGTAAGATTGAGGAAGCTCTAATAAACTAACTGCTATGCATGATATTCTAATTGTTAGTTCATCAAAGATAGTTATTGTCTCAATAACTATTGCTAATCAGCCTAAACTCATCATCATCAAATCACACATGCAAATCATATGCAAACCACACAATACTCAAATAGAAATTGATGAGTGCAACGCGAGGCACATACACAATTACTAACATGTTCCATATGTTAGAAATAAATACTATTTATTTTATAATTAGTTGCTATGCTGTTCACATTGTAAATTGAATTTTGTAAAATATTTTGTAATAATGTTACAAACCTAATTGGCAAGCTATTTGCCTTGGGTCGGGGTCGGGGTGTTGCTGATAAGCCCTATGCATATGATTAAGCTGATTAAATGAACGCACAACAAACGACAAAAGCTGCTTTTAAAACTGTTCAAACAGCATTGAAAAGTGTTGAGAGCCAAAGTGCCACACTGAAAATAGATTCAGTTAAATAATCAAAGGTGCTCCAGTAGTGTAGTTGCTGAATTTCAAACTACAGCAAGGAATAAGAAGACTGCACTCGTATAAAATTAAGATTAAAAGCTACAATGTGTGTGTGTGTGTGTGAGAAAGTTTGTGCTTCTGTTGCTATGGACTGTATCTGATGCTCCTCTTATGGGTCTGCCTCTATGTCTATGTATTTAAGGTGAGTGAGTGTAGAGTGGACTAGAAGAGCACTTTACTGTCTATATACAGCTGTGTGTTAATGGTTTTTTCCTTCAGACGGCAAACAACTCAGATGCTGCAGCTGAGAAGCATTGAATTTGTTGAATTCATTGCCAGGATTACCTGTCATATAGCCACAAAGCACGAGGAAATTAAAAATTTCGCCAGCAACGAGCGTTAAGTGAAAACAAAGCAGCCTTTTAATTTAACAGCATGGCACACAAAATAAAAATAAAAAAAACACAAAAGCTTGAAGCTGACAAGAAAGTGTAGCAGCTGAGACAGTGAGTTCAAGGAAAATAATACAATTTGCGTGCTTTATCAGCGTGACCAAAATGTTTGTTTGACTTTCTTAATTTTTGTGCCGCAACAACAGCAATTTGCATTGATTTTCGAAGGCGCCAATATAAATATTTGATGACGACACGAAACAATTTAATAGCTACAACAATTGCAATAAAATTCATTCTGGTTGAACTTTGAATTGTCGGAAGATTTAATACAAATACAATATAGTAGCTTATGTGTAAACATAGTATTATCAGATTCATAAAAACTGCATGCTGTTGTAAAAAGTAAAATGTTTGCACCAAAAAATAAGTAACCTGCATTGTGCCCCGACATAAATTGCACTGCGGCAAGCTAAAGGATATATATAGATATATATATATATATATATATATATATATATATATATATATATACATATAAATATATATATATATATTTATATATGCATAAATGTATATGTATATGTATGAATTTATGTGCACATTCTCGGGTCATGTAGATGAAAATGATTATCAAAGATTGATTAACGTGTGTCCGTCCTTCGGGATCGTTGGTCGTTTCGGGCCCCCGAGCCGGAGCCTCTCCCGTCGTCCAGGTTAGAGTCCAGACTGGGCACTACAATTCTGTTGGCCATTTTTTATTATTATTTTTTATTCACATACATATTCATTTTTTTTATTTATTTTTATTTTTGGTGGTGGCTTTGTGCCTTTTTTATGGGGTTGACGGCAGAGCGGGTTGAAACAAATGTGTGTTGACTTTGTGTAACTGTTTGTGAAAAGGGTATTTATATGTAGGGATATTCGTAGCATTGCAACTGGGTCACCCGCATTTGTAAAGCGTTGCATATGCGTTAGACAAATGAATTATGAGATAGATGACAGAACTCTACATATTTTTTATGAGAAATTTGAATCTGTTTGAAAAATCGAGGCGTTATTTTCTAAATTAAATTCATTTAATAAAGCTTGCCTATTAATATATATACTGCGTATAAATTAGTGGTCGGCAATCTACCTTTAATTTAGCTGAATATACTTCGTGTATGCACATCATGAATTTTACAATAAGCAACCGTCATAGCAATCAGTTACAAGCTACGGAAACGTTTCAATTGCATTTTATTGATTGAGTCTTTTTTTTAAATTTTTTACTTTGTCGTAATTTTTGCTTTTGTTGCGCAATTCGAACGTTGTCAATCATTTGTCAATTTGGCACTCCATCAAATGAATACATCACTTAAAGTTCTTTCCGCATTTTTTTAAACGTCAATTATTAATGTTATTGTGCAATTTTGTGTGTGTATGCGTGTGTGATAAACCTTCTGCAATCACATGTATAATATTCTCTCATCTCTATATGTATATAAATACATATTTAAACATGCTGGTATATATATTTATTCATTTGTGCAAATTGAAATTCATTCGCTTCGAGTGCCAACAATTTCATCTGTAAAATGTCTGGCAATGATATTATTGTTATTAATACCAATCGAGCGAGTCAATTTTTCATCTCATCCTATAAATCACAAGTCGCAACATTTTTTCCCAATACTTTTTATCCCTGTACTCCAATTTGATTAAATTGAAAAATTGTATGAAACGCGCAATTACACAAATCAACGGCAGCAAAAATAATACAAACAAAAAAATGAGAATATAAATTGAACATGTTTTTTTTTATATTTTTATTACATATCAATTTTTAATTGCATTGTATGTATTTATTTATTATTTGAGTGAGCTCAAAATCAAATGCAGCCCCAATGGCTAAGAGTCGTTAACCAACGGTACAGAAATGCTCAAATTGGTTGTTGGCCTGGTCAGTGGTTTTTGTGGTGCAAATTGTTGAACACTATTAATTAGCACCTAATGAGCACTGATTGAAGCGCAACAAGAGTCAACAAAAAAGCCTTGGAAAAAAGTGGATGCAAAAGATTCATTTGCATTCGTCTATATATATATATAGAAAGAGATTAGTCTAAATTGAAATCGATTTTATGTTCGCAACCCGAAATGAAAGTTTTAAATGAAAATTGATGTAGGTAAATTTAGACGGTAAGCGGTAAATGCAAAGCCCCACCCCCATCCAATGATGAGCTCAGCCTCATTTTAATCCGCTTAGTCTATCAATTTATTTAACAGTTATCGCATAAGCAATGACAAATGGCAAAGCATAGCGTTTATTTATTTGCATAAAGGTATTTTAATCTATTCAGTTAAGTCACATGGATACTCTATTTATATTTAGTGAATAATTAAATAATCAAAGTAATTTAAGTCAAGTTTGAGCCATTTATATTCTGTTTTAAATTTTTTTAAGGTGATTATCTAATTATTTAATTAAATTTAATTAAAAATTTAATATTTAAAGTGATAATCACATACCTTGATAAGAAAGTATTTGAATAAATGTTTATATATTTCATCAAAAATTCAACAAGTTTATATACATTTGTTTTATAAATACATTCTCATCATATAGTATACAAATTTATTTTTATAATTGTGATTATTATTGATGGAATTTGCTGGATTGCCTTTTGTTTATTTGAATTTTTTTTTGTATAATTTCAAGAGAAATCTGGAAACATTCTTGCATCCACGCATGAGCCCATTTAAACTTTTCAAACAAATCCATTTCATACTTCACAACCCCTGCCTCAACCCACGCAAAAATATAAACAACGACCCCAAAATGTTTTAATTAAGCTCGCGCCACATTCACTGAAACAATTAAGCAAAACGATGCCTAGACGCCAGTGTACTAGGCGGGGTCGGTCGGTTAGAACACAGTCGTCGTTCAGTGCTAAACAAAATTAAACTAATTAAAATATTTTGGCACATAAATCAACAGTAAAAGCGACTTCCATACGCACTTTCGCCACTTTCGCCCACCCTTAACTGAGACTGTTATGTGGAGCACACACTTTTGAGGGAGTTTTTCTGGCGGCAATCCCGCCGTTGACAAACTTTAGTTAGTTTTAGCACCAATTTTAATGCGGAAACTTTTTTTTAGAGGTGGGGGCGAGAGCATTTTTGCCACTGGCACTTGGGCTCAGCCTTCAAGGCAGTTGTTGCTGTTGCTGCTGCTGCTGCTCCGGCTGCTGTTTGCCACTCGCTGTTTGGGTTGAATGATTAGCAAAAGTTTTTTATTTTCTCTGTCTGTCTTACTTAAAATTCAAGCAGAAAATTAAGTTTTTCAATTTTATTTTGATGCCCGTTGAAGCAATTTTGTGGGCAAAGAACGGTATATTTTTTCAGCATTGTTGCTTTTAGTATGTTTTCAGGGAATTTGTTAGAAAAGCGAAACGATTACCATTTTGAGCATGGCACTAGAGCAGCAAATTGAATGAAAAAACCAGGAGGTCCAAAAAGGTCTCCAGGTCACTTTGAAGTCGCACAGATAAAGTACTGGCACTGAAGTTAACTACTTTTGCCATCAGGTTTAAATACTTGGATTATTAAAGAGCAAATAATCTGACAAATTGTCTTTGTGTAAGAGATAAAACTTGCATTTCGTGAGCCTCTTGCTTCACGTTTATCTGGCAATCTTAGATGTCCACCTTAAGCCTCTTAAATATTTAGGTTAGTTCAGCGGCGAGTCTTAAATTGTGTCTGTGCCAGATTGTTACCGATTGCCATTGTGATCTCTGATTCCCTGTAATAAAGTTCTGATTCACGTACAGTCGCCCGATTAATTTGCTTTGAATACCCCAAAAATCTTTAATCTTTTATCGACCCCTTCTCATAGTATAGGTTCGTTGATATATTTCATTATTAATCTATTGTCTGTGCTCATATTTCATGGCTCGCTTATTGAGCGCTGATAAGCAGCCTCCACGAAAGTTTCCTCCCCACCCACACTATTTCTAATGCAGTGAACGTGGACATGTCATAAATTAGGGAAAAGCTCGTCGCCTCAACGATTATGTCAAACATTGTGACAGTAGCGTCCTATCTTATTGATGATGCTTATCGATGGCGCTCTGACAACAAATGTGAGTTGGATGTGACTTGACAGACAGACGGCAACGGCGATGTGTACTGAGTAGAGGCAGAAAGATTTTGATTAGAGACCAAAACGAAAGATGGATGTGTTTAAATCACTTTTCTGCTTTTTCCACTCATATTTGCTGATGATAACCGGGCATTAGGCACAACTGCAAAACTGGAGTGCTAGAAAGCCCATTTTCAAATAGGCCAGGCGACACTTAAAAAAAAAAATGCTACAAAATAGGGAATTTAACAATTTGTCAAAAGGTGAGTTTTAGAAGGCATGCATATCTACGCCTATCTAAATGAAGAATAAACTTTAATATTTACAATTATTCTAGCCCCGAAGATGGGGGTATCTAAATTGATGTTTACTTTAATTAAAAATGTACAATTAAAAAATACTAGATGATTTCTTTTAAGTACTCAACAAAAAATCATACTATTTCTACACATTGGTTAGATTTCTCTGGCTTCTCTATTTAAATATTTTTTTGCTGAGTGCAGTCCGCAACGGCAGCAGCAGCAGCAAACAAAAGGCGTTGCGTAAAAACGAGAAGTGGAAACAATTTGCCAAAGCGTCGAGCGCTTGGTTATAATAACAGCAGCAACAGCAGCACTAGGAACAACAACAGCAGCAACAACAGCGGCTGCAGCATCGGCAACAACAACTGCGAGTCATTGGGGAACTGGGTACATGCTGGCAAACAAAAGGCGTCACGCAAAAAGAAAGGCCCGGAAAAAAATTAGTGCACAAAAAGCAACAACTTGCGAACGGTGACTGCCATCAAGGTAGACAAATATGCAAAATGAAAAAAAAAAAACTCACACACAAAACACAACAAAAAAAAAAAACAAAAAACGGCAACTAAAAAGCTTATGCCCGGCAACTCTCTTAGTTTCCTTTGCTGCCACTCCCACTCCCATTCCCTCTCTCTCACTCTCTCTTCGTCTCCCTTTTTCTCGTTGTCGTCGCTGAAGCGCACTTCATACAAAATGGCGCCCACATGGAAGCGTGCGATTTGCCGCAATTGCGTATCATTAATTTGCGCTTTAGTTGCCGTTGCTATCCTTCTATAACACCCCCTCCCCCACGCAACTCGTACCTTTATCAGCCCCTCCACCATTCAGTCGACTTTTGTCCGCCTGTCGTCGGTCGGTCTGTAAAATGTTCATGACTGCAACGCGGCGTATGAGCAATAAATGTTGTACATACATGCTCAAATACACACACACACCCACAGGCCCACACACATACACACACAGAGAGCAAACGTCTCGACACAAGTCAACAACTAAACTGAAATGACTGCGGCCATGTGTCTGTCTATATTCATGGTTTACACGTTGCGCAGATATTGCAAAAACCCTAATCATGGTAAACACTTTAAAATTGAACAAATATTCGATTGATTTTTAAATGTTATACAAAAATAACCCATAAGTATTCGAAGATGTTTATCATTGAAGATGTTTATCATTTAGAAGATATTTTAATTGCAAATCAAAGTACTTGAATCGTGAATCGTTGTTGCTTTTAATAGCGAAATATTTGATGCTAATGGCTTAAAATCGATACACTTCTAAGTGATGAATAATTACGGTTTGCTTCAAGTTCTTAATGGGCATAAAGTATTCATAAACGCTTCAGTTGTTTATTAGTTCAAAATTAATTAGTATTTTCCAACATTTTTTTGCAAAAACAAAATTATGAAGATTATATGAATATGCAGATACCCACGAAATTCACAAAATCAATTTGCATAAACATTATTTATGTCTATATCGTAGCAGTTAAATGGGTGCATGTGTGTGTGTGTGTATGTGTGTGTGTGTGTCGGTGGATTTTGGTACTGCGGCTTGTCGTAACATGACTAGAACATTTACGGCGACAAGCTCAACGCCTTAGTACTCATCACAATACCCCCTTTGCACGCCCTTTTTAACTGCAGTAAGCAAATGCAAACATTGTAAAATGATTTTCAATATTAAACAGTATGAGTGAAAGAGTGACAGAGAGAGCCTGCTGCTGTTGTTGCCACAGAGTTTTTACTGCTACGAGTGCTGGGCCTTAATGCCGCTTATGTTGCAGCATTATGGTCGCTTTATTTAGTATAACATTCCATGTTTCCATCGCATATGCTTTATAAGTCCACGTGTTGTTTTTGTTGTTCCATCGGGTTTAAGCCCTGACGATTGTTGAATGTGAGCTGTGCTGTTGTGGTGCTGTAAATTTAATAGCTAGCCAGTGTACAGCTGAACTTAAACAGCATTTAACATCAGTGACACTCACATATATACACACATGTATACTACAAACACATACACATACACACACTGTGTGTGTGTGTGTGCGTCTGTTTTTAGTTTAAGTGCATGTTTTAGGCTTTGAATTTAATGGGTTGGCAACAAGACCATATCTTAAATTGTTATGGTCTCGTACTTAAGTTGGAGTTAAAGTTATTTTATAGCATATCTAGGGGGGCTATATTTTTTAAGGTTGTTTTAGTACCGTTCTATAACTTTTAGGTTTATTTTATTAGCTAGATAAAATTGGTCGAAGTAGAAGAATCAAATTCAGTTTGGCTACAATTTAAAACCAAATTTAAATAGTTGTAAGGCACATCAATTTAAACAGTTCCCTATTCCTGTAAAGATAAAATGGTCGTACCATAAATATTAAAATTAATTATCAGAAAAGCTTAAATATAAAGCAATTTGCCAAATTGAAACGAACCAATCAATTGAAACTATTAACAACCAGACAGACATTTTAATTCAGGTCAATCAATTTGCATCCATTTAAAGGAACATCAGCTGCTGGCCTTTCAGGAGCTTGACTAGCCGCAATTACAAGCCAACGTTATCCTCTGGAAATATTCTAAACGCCGCTTGACCATTCCAATTATTTTAATCGAGTGCCAAATAGCTGACGGACAGAGTGGAAAAAGACTGAGATGAAAAAAACCAAAATTAAGAAATAGCCTCAAGTCTAAAAATGGCCGAGCGGAGGAAATTATAAAATATATTTTCATTATGCGAATGGGGCAAAATAATTATGCCAAAAGTCGGCGAACAGCGGGAAGGGTAGATAGAAAGAGGGAGAGAGAAGGGTGGATGGTGGAGGGTGGAGGGCATTGGGCAGTCTGGATAAGCGTGGTTGGTCTCCGGTTCACTTGAGCAGCTCGTTGAGCTTGTAGCTTTTGGTACAATTATTTCATGCTCATTGCTAATTAAAACTAAATTGAGTGCAGACAAATACAACGAGAGTGAGAGAGAATGCGACAGAGATAGGCTCGACACACACACACACACACACAAAAACACTCACTCACACACACACACACACAAAAACACTCACTCACACACACACACACACAGTTAGTTACATTCCATGTGCGACTGTATTTGCGGTTGGGGGTAAAAAGCAAATGCATGTCGCCAACGTACGGCTTAAATTATTAAAATGTCATAATGCCTCCGCGACTTTACCACCCCCAATGCCCATCCCCCTCTCTAGCTAATGAGAAGTATGTTTGTATGTATGTATGTGTACAATTTACACTGTATGTCTATACATATGTATTTGTGCATCTGTGTGTGCGTGAGCTCATTACATGCTGTCACGTAGAAGACTCTGGATGGGGCTCACAAATACTGGTGTGTATTTATGGCGTGTGTACATGTGTGTGTGTGTGTGTGTGGGCGGTCGTATGTTGTAGTAGTGAGCAATGAATTTTTAATTGCCAACTAATTATTTGCAGTTCTTTAATTGAAAGCCTGAAAGCCACATGCACTTTGAATACCCTTTTCTTCTATGCATTTACTAGTTGAATACTGTGCAAAGAACGAACAAAACAAAAAAAATTGCCATAAATGTAGCAGGCAGCTTTGGAAGGCAACAGCAGCAGCAGCAGCTGGCTCCAAGTTGGGGAGTTGGATTTTGTAAGGGAAAACGAAGTAAAATCTTTGGCTAATTGCAAAGAAATCAAGCAGCTGTGCAGCCTGTTTCCTGCAACTGCTTAAACACTTAAGGATCCATTTTTTAAACACTGCCTGCTCGGCTTGCTCTCATTATAAATGTATTTAGGCTTTCGAGGGATTGGACATATAAGAAGTAGAATAGTACGTTTCTAAATAAACATTAACGTGTTTAACAAAACCGGTTCGAAACAAAGCTGTTTTTCGTGTCCATATATATTAAAATAAGCAGCACTTTAAGCTGATTCGTACTAAATTTCGTTTAATAACTATTTAGACTGTAATCAAGCTTTAGAAATGTTATTAAAATAAATTCTAAATCTTTATTTATTTATTTTTTCGTTACAGTTGTCGGCTTAGTTTAAGCCAAAATTTGCTTTTGCCTCACAGCCATCCATATGGGGCGTTCACGTCTAGACTCTGGACGCTGGCATTGTCTTTGTTTTCTGAACCGGTCTCGGTCGTCATCATCATCATCATCGTCATTGTCATCATCAGTTGTGCGTCATGCCGACTCAGACAGACCATAAAAAGTAATGCAGCTAAGTACAACTCGATTGTTGTTGTTGCCAATGAGCGCAGCAACAATAAATTGTGCAATAAATCAATAAAGAACAATAAAAATAGAAACAACAATCATGAGTGACTATTTTTCAACAAAGAAAACCTTCTCGAAATGTGTTTAGCTCCAGATCCTACCAGTAACTAGTTACTGCAAAAGCCTAGAACTGTTCAAAGTAACGGAAACAGAGTAAATAACGTCATCGCTTAACTGTTTACTGCAACTTATTTGCTTATGAGTTTTGCTGATGCATGTCCTTCCAACCAAGCATTTTCCCCCATTTCCCAGTTGGTCTAGACTTCATTTGTGAAGCTCAACTTTTACATATGCATAATTACCTTATGCCCCAAATTGGGGGCACCTTGAACTTGTCGTTAGTTTCGACGGGTTTAGTTTATTTTCAGCCGAGGAAAATAGACCAACAGTAGGAAAAGTTTCTGTAGAGTTTTCAAGCAATTTATAAATTTGAGTAAAAAATGCTAAAGCTAATACAATTTTGCATTTCTTTTCAAATTATATAAAACATAAGAAAAAAAATGTGCTTAATTTTTAGAAGCTAAGCACAACTAACAAATATTTGCTGACAACTTCAAAGCATTCGCGTTGGAAGCAACTACTTTTCATATGAAATAATCCAAGATTCTTAGGGCATCTAAGCTGCGGCTTTGCCTCACTCCTTGCCACTCGACTTTGTTTGTTGTACTTGATTTTTTTTTTTTGCGTTTATTGCTCAAGACTTTAAGCCGGCCGGCTTGTCCAGTTGTTTAGTATTTCTTCTTTTTTTTCTTCTTGTTTTTCTTTACATTGTTTGTTTGAGCAAGCGACGGCAGAGTTTTTCGCCACCTTTCTCGCTCCAACTCGCTCTTTTTTTGGTTGTTGTTGCTTCACTCGCTCGGCTTGAGTTGGTTTTTTTTTTTTTGTGGGCTTGTTTGTTTGGCCTTAAGCAGGTGTGACTTATATATAAATGTGTGTGTGTCTGTGTTGTGTGTGGTTGTTGTATGTATGCGTGTATTAGTGTTTCGACTTGATTGTTGCTGGTTTTATTATTTGTTGTTGTTGTTGTTGTTACTTAATCGTGTGTGCACAAGTTATCGTTTGCTCTTGAACTTGAGCTCAGCGCCAGCAAAAACAAACAACAACAACAACAATCCAACTAAAGTAAGAAAAAACTATAAAAGCAGAAGGTAAAACTCTGACCAGAGATCAAAGGTGTCTTACATTGGTTTTTTGCATACACTAATTGGCCAGCTCTTTGCACCTATTTTACTCGCTTTCCCCATCTCCCTCTCTCTCTCTCCCTCTCTCTCTCTCCCTCTCTCTTTCTCTCTCTCTCTCTCTCTCTCTCTCTCTCGGCCTCTTTTGAGCTCGCAGCAATTATTAAAAGGCAGCCATTGGCGACATGATAAACGATTTCCGCTATATTTCCGACTCCCCGGGGACGTCCTTCTCGAAGGGTTGTCACAGGGGCAATGGACTCAACAGCTGCCGCCACCCAAAGAGAGAGCGAAAGAGAACCAAAACCATTCCCTCTGTGTTTGCTCAGTTCTTCTTTCCTTTTCCACGTGGCCCACTTCACACGGCGCTTCATAATTTGAACGCAGCACACAAATTGTCCTCTTGCCTTGTTTACAGTTTGTTCGCTGACTGCTGAGAATCGCCCAGAGGCCATCAAGACCAAAGGGGAGGAAAGCAGGTTAAACTCAGCACAATAAAAAAAAAAAAGTGAATTGAGCAGAAGGCAAAGAAAGAGTAAGCGAAAGAGCTCAAAATGGAAATAAAGAAACATTGAAATTGGTTAAAAGATTTCAGCATTTATAGAAGATATTAAGTCCGTAATATTTCTGTAAGTCATTTAACTGTTATTACTTGTGTTTCCTGATTTAAAAATAGTTTTTTTTCTGTTTAAATTCCGTAGAAAATTAAAGTGCATATCTTTAGTATGACTGCAAAGGGTCTTTATTTATCGCCACTCCTTTAAGATAGTTGCTCTTACTTCTCTCTTAATCTCATTAAATGTTATAAGTTATACATCATATATATATATATACATATATGTAGATACATAGTGTATGCAAGTATGTGTATGCATGCACACATTTATTATTTTCTCAGTCAAATTGTCGCGTTGACGCCAAGCAAATGAGGAAATGCTTACTTTAATTTTTATTTATTGTTTACAATTTCGGTCGTAACAAGCTGAATCGCTCGACTTCTTCTGTCTTATCCCCCTCTATCTCTCTCTCTCTCTCTCTCGTCCTCTTTCTAGAAAGCCACTGTTGTCTTCTTCTTACGCTTTTGACGTTCTGGAGCATGCAGATGCATAATGCGGCCACAGGTCGCCAGAGGCCGCCACATTTAACAAATTGCGCTGCACACATAATAAATACATATGTGTATGTGTGTGTTAGTTGACAGTTTGTGTTGCGCGGGCTTCAATCGGCTGATATATCAAGAAAAATAAAGAATTATTTGTGCGCCACATTTCACTTGCCACGGCAATAAAATTCCAAGCAAAAATAAAAAAAACAAAATGCTTTTTATTATTTTGTGGGTATTTCTGAAACAACAAGCAAGAGAATTTGCATAACAAACAGCAATGGCAAGGAGAGGGGGAGGGGTCGCCTATATTTGATATTTTTGGCATAAGCGCAAGAGAGAAAGGAAGAGAAAGAACACAGAGAGACAGAGCGAGAGAGAGAGAGAGAGGAGAGCACATTTCACATGTTTACCCAAGCGATGACGTTATTGCCCCATCGGGTTAATGCACCGCAGTCGACGAGATTAACAACAAATTAGGGCTTACCTTTGTCAGTCGAAGAGGGATTCAGTGTTTGTGTTGTGGAGCCGACGGACTCCTGTTGCTGCTGCAGCTGCTTCGATTTGCTGCTAGCGGCGATTGCGATAGAAGCCAGCAACAACAACAACAACATGGACAAACTCGCTGTCGCCGGCATTTTGCCGGTGCTGCCGCGCTGCCTGCTGCGCTGCTTCTGTTGTTATTTTTGTTGCTGTTGCTGTTGCACTCACACACACACACACAAACCGACACCAACACAAACTCGCAACTAATGCTGAAAATGTTTTGTGTTTTGTTTATATATTCAGCATTTTAGTGCCGCAATTTGTGGCAGCGATATATAATTTTTTTGTTTACTTTGTTCGGTTTTTTGTTGTTCTTTTTTCTCTCTTTTTGCCGCGCGAATAACAAAGATATGCACACATACACTCACACACACCACTCACACTCAACACACACACGCATCAGAATACGAGTAGCACCAACACAAAGCAAGCAGCGAATTAGGCACAAGGCTCAAACAAACAGTAAGCACTGCGCTGCGAGGACATACATAAATATTTATATTTATTTATTTTTTACTTCATTTTTATATATTATTTCTGCATTTGTATGTATTAATTATATTCAGGTATTTTTGCGTCGGCGTCTAGAACGAAACTCGCACGCCGCATTCGAACCACACGCAGGGAAAACCGTAAGAAGACTGAGTAGAAAAACACTGAGATTCATGCGGGCATCAGTTGAGAAGGTAACGCATTGCGCAGCTACATGCTGAGAACATCAAACAGTCCGAAGTGTGACGTCACACATGTAGACAATTCATATCTAAGTGCTTACAAATTGCAAACATTTAGCATAATTGTAATTCATGTTCAGTGACATCCAAAATGGACGTATCAGCTATTTTTATATCATAACAGTGTTTTATTTACATTTTTAAAAGAATCAGCTGCACACCGATATTTTACCTCGATGCCTCATCCCTAACAGCAAACAGATTGTTTTTCTGCAACCCTATTAGCTGATTATTAGTGAAGCCCTGGTCTATACTCTGTTTAAACAACAGCAGGCGGCGCCAAATTCACATATATAAAAAGATCCAACAAACAAATTCAGCATACGGCTTTGAGACGCGTTGCTGTAAGCTACAAAATAACACAAAATTTCTCGTAAAATTTTAGTTTTCGAAACGCAATAATCAAAATTAAATTTCTGTTTGATAATGTTGCCCCAGCTTCTCGTGAGTAGAAGACAAATTTCTAGATGCATTTCGATTGCATAATTAGGAAATGCAATTTTGTTATGAGTTTTATTAACAGATGTGCCGTAATATGGTACGCTCTCTGCTGCCATTGTCCTGGCGACGTTGTGCATCCGACTCCAGCAATAGTAGTACCAATGACGACATCATTGTGGACTACGATGGTCCCGATTTGCCATTGCCCGAGTATCCAAACCGGCCCAATGAACCTTTAGGCATGCGCAAGCAGCGGTAAGTGATTGATTGATTGATTGATTAATTGATTGACTGACTGACCAACTCCACCCGCTACACAGCTTACTGTATCAATCACGCAAGCGGGGCATGCTGGAGAACGATCTGCTGCTGAGCACCTTTGCCCACAAGTATCTCAAGGATTTCGATGAGGACGAGACGGCCATCTACGATGAGCTGATCAACGGAGTCAGCAACGATTGGGATATCTATTATTGGGCGACGGGCGTGAAGCCAACGCCCCCACAATATGAAACGGATATTATGGAGCTGCTCAAACAGCACGTCAAGAACACGGAGAAGGTCGCCCGGTTCCGGCAGCCAGAGTTAACCTATTATCTGTAGCACAACTAATATTCTCAACAAGGCAACAAAGAAGGAAGAACCTTCTGTCTGTCTTGGGTATAGTTGTCCCCCCATTTCCGTCCTCTTGTTATTAGTCGTAGTCTACACTCATTATTTTTCAATGCTTGACAAATTAGAACATAAATGCATCTTGCTGCAGTCAAACACACAAAATACACACACACACACACTCCTCATACCATTTACCCAAAACACTTCCAAACTGGTTGTGCTTTAGTTGCTGTTCACTAGGAATTCTAGATAATATTAACTGTTATTATGTTATTAAATGATTAATTGTTGAATAACTCTATTATGTTTAATATCCATTTAAAAAGTCAAACGAATCACTGAAATCTATTTAATATCAATTTAAAAATCAAATTGCTCGTCGCATTTCGAGTATCACTAAATATTATTGTATTATTTATTTATTGTTTACAAAGAAGAAAATAATTTATAAACTTTCATGCGCATAACTAACAACGTTCAAAGACCTTGTAAAGGGCAGGCAAGCTGGTCAGTTCGTAGAGGTGCTGCTTGAGTCGTACCGGTGGAAGGAGAAACTTCTTGAAGCTTGGAAAGAGGACGTGCTCCATGTGCCAGTGCTGGTCACGCATATCGCCATCGTCCTGCCAGTCCAGCTGGGCATAATAGCGCGCCGTCTCGCGACAGAAACTCTCGAAGCACTGCGCCTCCTGCTCCCAGTCCACCTCGGTGGCCAGGCGCAGCAGATAGATGGGCAATTGGGCGCGACTGGGCACATGCTGGGGCAACAAAGCTGGCAGGGATTCCAAACAGCCCTCCGGCGAGATCCGCAACGAGAAATACTCTCGCATTATGGGCGCCTTCTCTTGTAAAATGGACACCGCATTCGCGGCCAATTCTGCTTTGTCCCCATCCTCGGGCAACCAGCCGGCGGCACGACTGTCCAGTGCAATGAGCAACAGCTGCTGCAGCGGCAGTGCTGGCACCACTCTAATCTCGCCACAATTCTGGAACTCGTAGACCAGACGCTGATAGTACAACTCCTCGCTTAAAGCGCACGTGTTGCACATGTAAAGATGGGTCTGGTGCTGGAAGAGTGCATGCCGCTCATCCACACAGCCCACGTAGACGAGCTGCTTGAGGATGCTGCGCAGTTCGATGTGGCACTGGCGCTCCACACGCTGCTGCATATCGAGGACGCTGGTGAGGCGTACTTCTTTCGATTTGCGCGCCGCCGTCACCCGAAAGCTCTCCTCCTGCGATGCTGGCGGCGTCTCATTGCCCGAGCTGGCTGACAGGCCTGAATCGCTCTTTTCCAGTGGCCGAAAGAACTTGTCCAGCTTCTGCTCAGTGGCATCGGTGCGAACCATTTCCTTATCACAGCGCTGCGTTTTATCTAGTGTCTGGGTAGATGTCTCCACCTCCGTGGAGCCTGGCAACTTGAGCTGCTTGTAGAAGCTTCGGGTGGCATTACTGCCCAACAGTTTGGCCTCCACCTGCAGCTTGATGCGCTCAATGATCTCGTCCTGGTAGAGAAAATGCACTTCATGCTTCGTAGGATGCACATTAACGTCCAGATTTTGTGGCGGCATCACAAGGCTCATATAAACGAAGGGATGCTGGCCACGCGGCAAATACGTGGTATAAACACCATCAATGGCCGCTTTGAGAGCTGCAAGCTTGAGAGGATTAGCAAGATAATAATTCTATTAACGCCCACTACTCACCTGGTGATTCCACGAGGCGATGATTGATGAACAACAGCAGCGTTGATTTCTTGGCCGCATAGTTCACCTGTGTCAGCTGACACTGCAGCTCAAACCTGAACATCTCATCCTTGTGACTGAACTCCATCAGCTCCTTGGCCACAGCGCCGCCATAAATTGCGCGTATATTTTCCGTACGTGAGCTGCACGCTTGTGTCTTAAGTGTGGGCTGTTCGCCCTGCTTGCGCAGGACAAATGCCACTTGGGGATTGTGTACAGCATATTTGGCAAGCACGTCTGAGATCTTTTGGAACTCCTCCGCTGGCGATTTGAGTGCCTGTCGTCGCTGTGGCATCGTATAAAACAGATCCTCAATGGTGATGATGGTGCCTTGATTGCCGGCGCATGGTTTGGCTGCATCCAGCAACTTGCCATCCGAGTAGGAGGCTTTGTAGCCGCATTTTTCGCTGGCCGTCTTCGTTTGTATGCTGAGGTGGGCCACATGGCTAATGCTGGCCAATGCCTCGCCGCGAAACCCAAATGTGGCGATTTCCGTTAGATCCTCGAACTTGCTCAGCTTGGAGGTCGTGAAGCGTTCGCAGACAATCGCCAGATCTTCTTTGCGTATGCCGGTGCCATTGTCCTGGATTTGCAGCAATTTCAGTCCGCCAGATTTAACATTCACCTGTATATGACTCGACTTGGCATCCAGGCTATTCTCCAGCAGCTCCTTGAGCGCATTGGCCGGACGTTGTATTATCTCACCGGCTGCAATGCGATTGACGACAACCTGGTCGAGTTTCTTTATAACACCGGGCTCCCCCACCATGGCGCCAATAGTTGCCTCACTCTCAACAATGCATTGTAAACAAACTAGGGACGGGAAATCGATATTTCAGCAAAACAATGTAAACGAACTAGGGAAGGGAAATCGATATATCGATTTATCGTATAAGTGCTGAACTTTTCTGGTATTTTTTTCTTTCAACAATTAAATTCTTTATTAACTCATTGTTAGTTAAACATAATAAACTTCATATAATATTTTTCGTAAAGCATGTGGTAACTATGGCTATTTTTGATTCGAGAACTTAACGAGAACTTTCAAGATTCTTAATCTTAGCATTATTTGTACTGCATTGTGTTTAAAATTTTAAACTTTTAACGGAAATGCTAGTTAACTAATACTATAAGTAGTAAACTGGTGTATGTGTGTGTTTGTGTATGTGCGAGATTAAAATAACCATTTGCATTTCAAGCAGATAAAAACGGAAATGCCCAAAACAATGGTTGTATATTTAAATACACTGCGCACCTTACGCCTTTTGCGCTCTGCGATAATCTCATTGTAGTCAATATAAAGAGGATTTTTTGGTGGACTAAACGAACCAAGCTGCAAGCGAGAGATTATTAATGAGATTTACAATAGTTATTATTGAGACATTCTTACGTATTTAACCGTTTGACTTAGATCGTTTATAACGCCGCGATATGCTTTCAAATTGCTCTGTAAGTTGGCCAATTGCAGCTCCGTTGGCCGACCAAGTTTGCCCTTCAGCTGATTCTGCATGACGAACTGAAGCGATGCTTGGATGATCACCAAATGCTGCAGATGATTGGCGGTGATCATCAGAATCTCATAGAAGCTGTAGAATTGCATAAATATTATAATACTGTAAATGTTTTAAATAATTTCAATTTACTTCTCCATTTCATTCTTTTTAATGCGAGCAATCGATTTCGTTGACCAATGATTCAGATGAAAGCTAGAAAAAGATTTTTTTAATATTAAAATTAATATTAATACTAAGATGTCGGGTATTCCCCTTAACCAGATACTCACTCTAGTATACCCTTCATGATCTTGTTGCGATGGATGGGAAATTGAATGCCAATGTTGGCCAGCTTCTGATCATCCATATTAAGAAATTCGGCCAGTGAGATTCGGGATTTGGCAAAATGTTCCAGCATATTGGCCATATTGATGGAGTTCAGTATACTACTCAGCTCCTGAAAGTACTCCGGACAATCGGTCTTCAGGAATATCCGGGGCACATGATCCCGCAACGTGCTGTAGGCCAGGAACTGCGACGGAACCACATAGCTGGCATGTTCGTGCGGCAATAGGTCCAGCAGATCGTAAAATCCATGGAATTCGGCGACCTGTTTGGGCGTATAACCTTTGCCATTGGCCAGCTTAGCATTGACGCCCGACTCGATCAGCAGCTTGACAATATCCGCATGATTGTTCTCAATGGCATGGAAGATGGCCGTGCAGCCCTGATTGTCGATCGCATCGAAACTGACCTCAGGCAGCAGGATCTTAACAACACACGTGTAGCCCTTGCGACAGGCGCACATAAACGGAGTCATGCCATATTTATCGGACACGTTAATCACAGCACCATGTTGCAGCAACAGCTGCACGAGCTTCTGGGCGACAAACGCACCGTCCGTCGCTCGGCAATCGCAGGCGCACATCAGCGGCACCACGGAGTTCACATTTTTGTTAACGTCCGCCTTGAGCTCGGCAACGAGATACTCGGCCAATTCGTAGTGTCCGCCATTGCAGGCGTGGATCAGCATCGTTTGACCGTCGCACATGGGATTATCCACTGGGAACTTGAGTGCAACGATTTGTTCGCGCACCAGCTCCAAGTCACCAGCGGTCACAGCATCGTAGAGTGTTTGTTCCGGCTGCACATACGGCGTAATCTTCTCACGCTTCATCTAAATGAGAATATTTTTGATTTGGCAATAAAAGGGAATGAAATCAAAATCCGCAACTCACCTTTTCTGAGAAATAAAAACCATCATAGCTGCTGTCGTCCGAGTCATCGGAGTCTGGCGGTGGGCCGTACGTATATTTAGCTGTCATTTTGTTGTACTAGTTCTCTAAATCATATCAATTTTTGCTATTAAAAAATTGCGCAGTGAAAAGTAAAAAACTAAACAAAATGGCAAAGCTGGGAAAGCCGTGTGACCAAAGCCGGCTTAGCGAAAAATGTGGCATTACTCAAAACAACCAACTTTGTTATGGTCACACTAGGCGGCTTAACTGAAACTGGCACTTGAATTATGTATAGAATTAAATTAATTACGATAGATTTATATTTAATTTCATGTTTTATTACAAGTATTTAGCCGTATTACTACTTCTTTTTATTATTTTTGGCGAAACGCGGCCCACCAAAGTTTTTGCCCTTGTTGAATTTGTTTTTGCCCGCCTTGTTGGTCAACTTCACATTGCTAGTTTTCTTCTTGGCGGCAATTTTGGTCATCTTTTTGTGGCGATTGGCTTCGGATCTGTGGTGGGAAAGACAAAATTTGCAGATTATTGATTTATTAATGAGGAGAACGTTGTTGCTACTCACCGCAGACGCAGTGCACCGCCGCGACTGACATCAGTTAGATCGTTGGTGAAGGCGGATTGTCTTCCTTGCCGCTTCGGTTTGCTTCTGTCAGCATTGGAATACTTTTGCACCTCGGTGGCTGCACCCAGTTTGCCTGGACGCTTGCGTAGCTTGGCCATTTTGGCGCGTACCAGCGAAACCTTTTCAATTTCCTTCATGGCGCGCTCCTTGGCAAGCTGCTCGGGCGTTTTCTTACGAGGTTCCTCCTTCTTTTTCTTGTTGCGCCTGGCTTCCACCTCTTTGACAGACGGTCCATCCTCACCATCGCCTCCATACTCGGCTCGCTTGCGCTTGCCACCGAATTTACCTTTACCCGCTGCTGCTGCTCCTCCTGCTGCTGCTGGTTTCGCCTCATCCTCGGTGGAGGTCAGAGCTAGACGGGCTTTTTCATTCTCGCGCTGTTGCTTGGTCTGGAACCAGGTGCGTCTCTCATTCGGCTGGCCGAGAAGTTTGCGTTCCGTTTTCGATAGCTGCTGCTCCGTTTTGGCCAGCTGTCGTTCCGCCTGCTCCTCATCAAGTATGTTCTCTACAAAGGCAAATGCCAATTGCCATTCAAAACTAACTGCAAAGATTGGATGTGGACAATGACTTACGTATCTCTGGCTCCAAGGCGGTGAGCTTATTGCGATACTTATCAATGATCTCTGGTGGTATGATGCGATTCTTCACACTGCTCTCGGCATTCTTGATAATGTCCTTGACAATTTTGCGCTCCTTCTCCCCAGCCAGGGAAACGGAGATGCCCGCTCTTCCGGCTCGGGCCGTACGACCCACACGATGGATATAGTGCTCGGTGGTGATGGGCATCACGAAATTGATGACAGTCTTCACGCCGACAATGTCGAGACCACGTGCAGCCACATCGGTGGCAATGAGCACATCGATTTGCTCCTCCTTGAACTTCTTGAGCGACTCCAGACGTTGCTGCTGTGTAAGATTGCCGTGCAGCTCGCCGGCACGCACGCCCAGAAGGCCGAGCAGGATGTGGAGGCGATGCGCCTGCTTTTTGGTCTGCACAAAGACCATGCAGTGATCGTGGAAAGTGCGACAGATTAAGCTAGCCAGGATGGGCTCGCGATCGCCCTCCTTATCCTCGCGTATGCGTATAAATTCCTGCCGTAAATTGAAGGCCACCTGTTGATTATTGTTGACGAACACCTTGACCGGCTTGTCCAGCGAAACGGCGGCCAGATCCTTGACCTGTTCGCTCATCGTCGCCGAGAAGAGCATCGTCTGGCGTGTCTTGCAACAGGAGTTGATAATCTCCTTCATTTGCTCCGCAAAATACTCATCCAACATACGATCGGCCTCATCCAAAATGAGCACCTGAAATTTATTTAAAACATTACTTTTACTTCTAATGGAATGCCAGGATTTGTTCGAGTCTGGTGAATGGAAATCAGCTTGCAACTGCGCGGCAGTTGCAAGTACCAGAAACTTATCCGCATAGCTACGAGTAGCTCGGAGCGCAAGGATTGATATTCATCATGCTTTGACTCGTCTTATTATGCCAAAGTAATCCGATTGCTTACCTCAATGGAATCCAAGCTGAAACTTGGTGTATTCTTAATGTGATCGATCAGGCGACCCGGCGTTGCAATAACAATATCCGGATTTTGGCGAAGCACTGCTTCCTGGGCTTTCACATCGAGACCACCGATGGCCAGGCCGACATCGATGCTGGTGAACTGGCACAGCTGCTTCGTCACCTGGTAGACCTGGGCGCCCAATTCACGTGTGGGCACCAGCACCAGCACCCGGGTGATGGCCTTGTTGTTCAGGGGTCGATAGAGCAGACGCTCCACTGTGGGCAGCATATAAGCAGCCGTTTTGCCAGTTCCGGTCGCTGCACAACCGCAAATGTCGCGACCCAACAGTGCTATGGGTATTGTGGATGCCTGGATGGGCGTGGGATATATGTACCCAAGGACTCCAATGGCGCGCATGAGCGGACGCGACAGATTCATTTGATAGAACGAGGTTATCAAATCGTTGGACTCCACAGTATCATCGAATTGCATTTTCTCGCCTTCATCTTCGTCGATGTCGTCGTCCGCAGATTTCTTCTTCTTCTTGCTCTGTTTCTTTTCGCGCAGTCGCAAATTGTCATGCTGGAGCTCATCGTCCGAGAGAGCAATCTCATCATCATCGTCGCTCTGCTCGGCGGCAACGGCTTCGGCACCGCCACGCTGCTGCAGACGGGCAGCGATCTTGTCGTCTGTCTTTGTGCGCGCCTTGCGTTTCACATACTTCATCAGATCATCCCAGGTGTCCTGATTGTACTCCTTCACGGAGGACACAAACTCGAATCCCTTCTCGAATTCGGTTACCTTTTTGTGCCGCAATTTCGTCGGTTGATACTAAGCCGGAAAAACAAACGATCAATTTCAGAGCTGGCAATTGTACTACGTTTCGGTGTTTACTCACTTCTACTTCTGCGTCCGAGTCCTCGGATAGATTCTCTACCTCGGCATCGTCCTCAATGGTGCCGATCAAGTCCATATTTTTAGTTGCGCCCATTTTTAATGCGCGTGTTTACAATTTTAAGGCCCAACACGTGTGCGAGTGTTGGAGATGGCACATATATCGCTCATCTCTAAATTTCACTGTAGGCATATCCAGCGCTAACAATGTATCGCTTTTCTTCTCCGATTAATTAGTATCGATACTTGTTGACCGGCGAACAGCTGTTTTTGCAATTGTTATGAAATTTTCATAAACCTTGACGATGTTGCGTTTGTTGACAAAAACTCGTGCTGTCAGGTAAATAAATATATATATACCATATTATTTGACATTAGATGACACAAACATATTGCAGATCACTGCTGCCTGCAGGTAGCATTCGTTTCTATGCACAAAAAGGGCCCAGTGGCGGAGGCATTAAGTCGAACGACGACGACCCGACAATCAGCAATGAGCCAATTAAGTTCTTTGGCAGCCAGGCGGCCACTTGGCGGGCACGCGACACACGCAGTGGTGGCAGCGAGGAATCCCTGTGGTATCAGCCCTACGTAATCTCCGCCAGCTTAGCGGTATTTCTGTTCTACTTTTGTATTCTGCGCGAGGAGAGCGATATTGATCTGCGTTTGGAGGGCAATCTTTATGATCATGTCAGCGGCTTGGAGCAGGTGCAGCTCACAGTCAATTACACATACAATAAGGAGCACGGGCTGGACACCAAGGAGCAGGAGAAACGCCTCACCGAACTTGGCGTCGACATTAAAGAATTGAATGCCAAATTGGCTGCACAATAGCTTAAAACAATTAGTTGTATTTGTGATGTTTTTTTGTTAAGCAAAATGGCTAAATATATTATTTAAAAGATATATATTGTTCCTGGTTTGTACTAAAGAATAAATCTGTATCTAAATTTTATACACCGTCATTTTTTGCATGCACCTTGTACGGTGAGCGCAGTGTGGACAATCCAAGGCAGCTGAGCTCATTTGCCGTTGGTCGGAGAGCGGTTTGTGTCGTGAGTTGAGTGATCTTTGTTTTTCCCTTCACCACTCACGTTTTTAATCCTAAGTAAATTGTCAACGAGCAAGTGCGATCGATTACTTTAACGTTCAATATATCGATAACATAAGGTTTTGGTATTCTCGCAAGTTGCGCAATGCAGGCACACAGTGCTTGTTGTTAAAGCACAACAGAGACGCAAACACGGGTGGCACAATTCGTATTTGATTTAGCTGCCAGCCAGTTTCTACGTGTTAATTGAAGAGGGAAGGTAAACAAAAGTGCAAGTGTTAAAAAAAGCGTAAGTGCAACAGAAATTGAACTCCTATAATTAAATCCACGCTGCTTCTATCATTTGCATATTCGCACACACACACACGCACACACATTTATATGTACCTTTAAATTTTGTGTGTTGTACACGAATACATACATACATGAATATCTAAAAGTATCAATTTAACACAAATTAAACTCGTCTGCCTTTGGCGAGAGCATTTCATGTGCAGGTCCAAAGTTCACTTTCTGTGCAGCGATTGCTTGTCTATGTGTGCGTGTGTTTGTGTGTGTGTGTGCTTATACAGTGTATACTAAATATATTTAATAATTGTATTATTATAATTTATCTTTCGCAAGTTATTCAACCGTTTTAAAAATGGCTTCGCATTTCTTTCGCACTGCATTTTACGCAACTGCAGCGAAAAAATCAATAAATGTACCGTTTGCCGCTGGTCGCACGGCCGCCACACTTGCTGTGGGTCTCTCGTTTGGTGGTAAATGTTCGAAAATTACTCGCTTTTCTGTTTTTCCTAAGTGACATTTTTCTTTATATGTATGCATATTGTCTGTCTGGCTCACTCCCACTCCCTCCTACATCGACATCAATAACTTACAGCACAGAATAATCGCACCAACGCTGTAACATATGACAACATGTATACGGATAGATTCTACAGCGGCTGCTCTGCCAGCGCCGGCAAGGGTCTCTTACAGAGTCCTCTGGCCGGCTACCGAAATCTACAATTGCCGATCTCCCGCAATTATTCAAGTCTGCAAATCCAACGGGTACGTCATGTAAGCCTAATTCTTATCATATTTATATGTATGTAAATTTTGTATATTGCTCTGTTCTGCCTTTTTAATTGTTTGCCAATCAAAATTTTACGCATTGGTTTTTGTTGTTGCACACATTAGTTGCTTACATTTGTTTTTTTTTACAGCTGCTGCTGTCGCTAACATAGGTTTTACATGCGCATCTAACATAACATTTACATTAGTGCATTTGTCAACATTGTCAGCTCACCCATGCAAACATTTTATATTTTTACAGTATGCAGACAGACATAACATTTGATATCGATTAAAATCGCGCGACAGCTAGGCCACAATGCGCGGCTTAATGATCTATGAACTTTTTTTTAATGCATAATCAACTTTTTTTATTGGGTGATTAAATATTAATTATAAGCACTCATTTAACGCTTGAGTTAAACAACAAATGATTGTCATTTCAATATATAGTGGCTATTCATACAGGGGACAAAAGCGCCATCTACGGTCAGACTTTTGCACATCCAATTGAGGGCAGCTTTTGAGAATAGATCATAAGTGACGAGCTGTCTCTCTCTCTCGCTCTCTCTTTCAATTCCCCTGGCACTGTATGTGGACGCTTCCAATGCCGCAATGTAATTGAATCCGCCGCAATGGCAATTCACATCCCTCACACACATACACACCAACACACACACACACATGCATCATATGCCTCCAGATTTATATAGTTTGGCATTGGAAACTAGGTTTTGCGCTCTTTTAAGACAGTCGATCAAAGCTTTTGTTACTGCAAATACATGTTGGATACATTTTCGTTGCTCCAACATAATTCGAATTATGGATTTCCTAATTGAAATTGCACTTCTGCTCGTATTGCTCTTTATACTATTTACGATCTATAAGCGCAAGAAACTAGTGAGTTTATTACCTTCCACTATATATTCAAATGTAATATCTTTAATCGCAAAAGATTATCACGTCAAATAATTCCTAAGCCATCTGGATTGTTTGACTGATAACACTTGAAATTCTCCGTCTGAACAAGACGCTTATCTAAATTGCAGCCTTCTTATCGATATAGATTTTGGCCATACGCAATGTCTGCCGGATTAAGTCTATTGATTAAATTTAGTTCAGCGCGAACATGAGTTGCTAACGGTCGACAAATAATTCCGCTCACAAAGAAACACTTGAATTAGCTAAATAATTAACACTATAAACATTAATAGACATAGTTTTCTAAGTGATCTAACGCGATTCTGGTAATTTCATTTTCATTCAAAATCCTTTAAAAACAAATTCTCTTAATCGCTTTGCATGTTAATAATATTTTATACGCTAATAAATATTGCTTCAGGTCAAATTTTGCGATAATCAAGTCAAACAAAGTAGTAAATTACTAATGAACGCATTATCAGCCAATTTTCTGTATATTGCACAAAATACAAGCACATTTTATAACATAACCCGGTGGTTTTAGTTTCCGTAATACCCTACTAAAATAAGCATATCTGTTTGGCATTCTAGTCTAAGGCAACACACCATTTTTCTATATATACTCGTATATGTATAGACACGCCTTTGAACGTCAAGCGTATCTAATCTGTTTGAGATTAAACCTATCATTAAACCCTTCATGCGGCATGAACTTTGTATATACTTTGTATATGAAAATCTAAAAAGAAATACTCCAGTTAAATGTTTTATTTAAAATTGCAAACATACGATCAATTCAAGTTTCTTTTTTACATAATTATTGCAAGTTGAGCTTTAAGTGGAAATACAAATTGATTATCGAAATTTATGAAATTTTGTGTTATGCTTATGAATCATTATTTATATCCAAAATAAAAAATAATTCCAATGACATTTGTTTACTTTTAACATAGAGCGCAATGGCACCGGCAAAGAATCGTCGGAATCTGTCCTCCAAGGATATTACGAAGAACATGACCCTCTATACGAGCCAGAAGGCCGACATCGAGGTAGATCCGAAGACGCTGGAGTTTAAGAAACCCACTGGCAACCCACTTGTGCTGATGATGGCCTGGCTGATGGCCAAGCAGAAGCACCTCAAAAAGTATGCGCAAATCTATACGGAAATGGGTTTCGATGTGATGGTGGTGCACATTACACCCTGGCAGCTGCTCTGGCCCGCCAAGGGCACCCAGGTACACTAGAAACTCAAGAATCTACAATTGTTGTTCGCTTTATTTGGTTGCTAATCTGGTTGGCTTTTGGTTGCCGTTGCAGGTGGTCGCTGCGGAGACATTGAAATTTCTGGAGAACAATAAATCGTATGCGCCGATTGTGATGCACGGCTTCTCGGTGGGAGCGTATCAGTTGGGCGAGATAATGCTGCAAATGTCGCGCGATATGGATCGCTATGGCAGCATACTGGATCGGTTCGTTTGCCAGATCTGGGACAGTGCTGCCGACATTACAGAGGTCCCCGTCGGCGTGCCAAAATCGATATTCCCAAGGAACGAGCGAATGCAGGTAGCATTGCGCAACTATACGCTGTATCACATGAAGACATTCCACAATCAGGCGACCATACATTATATGCGCTCCAGCCAAATGTTTCACTCGACCCTGTTGAAGGCACCGGCGCTGTTCTTTGTCTCCGACAACGATCCGATTGGACCACCCTCGTCGAATCATGCTGTGCGCGAGAATTGGGAGAGGGCCAACATAAAAGTGACATTTAAATGCTGGCAGAAGTCGCAGCATGCCGCCCATTACATCAAGCATCGTGATGAGTATTTGGAGATGCTGTTCCAGCACCTGGAGGCCTGTGGCATCCTCGAGGCAGCTGGCATGCTCAAGCGCGCCAAGTTGTAAGCAAGCTGAGGAATCCTCTCCAATGTATTTTGGGTGATAAAACGAGAATATTATTTGCGACGATTTTATGGTGATTCTACCTAGCTCTTAAGAAATAAAGTTTAATCCTTTTGTTCCCTATATGTGTGAGTGTGAGTGCGTATGTGCCAGAATCATCAACAACAAAAATTATACCAAAATTTAATTGCAAACCACTTTTGTTTAGACTTAAGCATTAAAAACTGTTATCGTCTCCTTATCTGAAGCAAAGCAAATGCTCAACATTAAACGCTATGCTCCGAGACCAGTACCCAACCGCATTCAACAACATTAAACGAAGTAATTTAACTAAAGTTAATCAAAATCTATTTTACTCTATTGCTTAAATAAGAACAAAAACAAAATTAATACAAAAAAAAAACTATTCGCTGCGGACAGGATTCGAACCTGTGCGGGTAGAACCCAATGGATTTCAAGTCCATCTCCTTAACCACTCGGACACCGCAGCAACGAGACGATTGGTGGCAAACTGCCAACAATTTATCACAGCGCTCGGAGATGCTGCTACTTGGATAACAGATGGCGCTAACTTGCTTACATATTAATATCATAGATGGCGCTGCAGGGTACGCAATTTTAACCTTCTCATTTGACAACAGCCCAACACGTGCTGCGGTGTCCGAGTGGTTAAGGAGATGGACTTGAAATCCATTGGGTTCTACCCGCACAGGTTCGAATCCTGTCCGCAGCGAAATTCGATTTTTTATTTTTCAACTTGTAAATATTATTTTGACTGCTTTTTCTTAATATTAATAATATACAAATAAGTTTTTTCTGGTCTCCAAAATGATTTGTATTGAAAGGCATATTTAATAATTTTTTTATATATTTTTTTTTGTACGCTTTTTACAAAAAATAGTTTGCATTTTGTATGTTATCCTATGGTTTGTTTGATTTAAAAAGAAACTTAAAACAATACGACTCAACTGAATAAGAAGTATTATGCATCTATATATATATCTTAAAATCTAGCCACATTGTCCGCACTGTTCTCACTGCTTTGGCGGTGGTCGATAGACGCCCACGACGACGGCATGATCTCGCTCGTAGGGTTCCAGCGTGAGCTGTTCCTGGGGTTTCAGTTTGTCGGCCTGCATCTTTTTGACTTCGGCGGCAAAGACCGCCTCTGGTTGGGCTGTGGAATCAATGCAGGATGCCTTAATAGAGATAACAAAGTGACCGCCATTCTTGAGGAAATGCTGCGCATTCAGCGCCACAATTCGGCCCTGATCCGGCTGTGCCACATCCGCAAAAATTGTGTCCACCATGCCGACGAGCATGCGATACTTGTGCGGATGCCGGGCATCCTCAATGATGGGTATAATGTTGGTGCGTTTCTTGGCCACATTGATCAGATCTCGACCGGAGCGATGCGAGAACTCGACGGCATAGACCAGTCCCTCGGGTCCTACAACATCCGAGACGTGTGAAACCGTTGTGCCCGAAGCGGCACCCAAATACAGCACCTTGGAGCCGGGTGGCATGTGTATCTTCTCCACACCGCCGAGAACAGCAGCGGCCAGCTTGGAACGGAAGGGATTCCACACACGATACTCGATCTTCTCGCCATTTGTCTGTGTGTGTGTGGATAAATAAATCAAGGATTAGACAAGTGGAATGTATAATTTTGAGGAAGAGGAGGAGTTGCCTCAGTAGTGCTATAGTTCTAAGCATCACATGGACGCCACCCACAGCCGTTTAACATGCACCTGGAGTGCACAGAGCGGAGCAGACACCAAGGATGCTCATGGCCACATTTTGCCATGTTCCGTACCCCTGCACAACATCATCATGGACAAAGAAGATTCTCTAAAGGTACAATAACAGAATACACACCTCAACTGAGATGCGCTTCTCGCCGTACACCTCCGAGCCGGGCACAAAGTTGCGGGTGACGAGCGCATCTTCCTTGCCGCGGGCAATGAAGATGCCCTCGTGACGATGTGCTTCAATGGTGACCGTTTTTCCGCCCTTGAAACCACCAGCACCGCCGCCACGGCCACCACCGCCGCGTCCACCGCCGCCACCACCACGTCCGCCGAAGCCACCACCACGGCCACCGCCGCCACCACGTCCACGGAACCCGCCGCCGCGATCACCGCCACGGCCGCCGCCGCCACCACCACGTCCACGGAATCCGCCGCCGCCGCCTCCGCGATCACCGCCACCGCCACGGCCGCCGCCACGCCCACGAAAGCCGCCGCCACGATCGCCTCCTCTGCCGCCACCACCACGAGGACTGAAACCTGCGCAGAAAACAACAAACAACAAATTATGAAATTCAATTTCAATCAAATTGCAATCAGAGGTTAAAACTTTGTTTGCATTTCGCTTTGCCAATGTGCATTTCCCAATGCCTTACCAGCTGCTTTGCGTTGTTTACAATTAAAACAGAAGGCTTACCCATTTTAAATGTCTGTACTTTTGCTTTTTAATACAACTTGAATAGGAATCCAAATTGCAGACGCACGCGGCACAAATAGAAACACACTGGAAAAGAAACCACGTGTGTGTGGTGCTGTATTGAGTGCTAATTAATCGATATCGATATTTTTAACATTATCAGCTCTGTTAGGTAGCTTGCTCCCTCTTGCGTGCGTTGTATGCTTGGGTAATTTGACGTCCATTGCATTCGGTCACACTGCATACCCAGCGCAAATATGGCCGTCGCATGAAAATTGTGTGAGAAAAGAAAAATTGAGCGCCGTGTTTGCCATTTTGTTCTGCTTAAAAGCAAGCGAAAAACTATACAAGCGTGCACGCTAAACGTATACAAAACGTAAGCAAATTAGTTTAGTGCCTGTAACTATCGTTTTTAATTAGCCTAACCATAACTTGATTGCCTGTCTGCGGTTCGTGTCTTGTTCGGTCTCCGTTATTCTTCAAAGCTGACAAAGCAAAAACACAAAAATACACATACGATATACACTTGTATATGTATATATATATATATATTATGTGCATATGTCGGCGGTCGGTACGTGCGTGTCTATGTGTGTGTGTGTGTGTGTCGCACGGTGCTCTGTGCGTGGAGAGCCCAACAACAAATGTCGCTGAGAAGTCGCCGGTGCTTCTCGTCGCGTCGTCGTCAATGCATTTGCCGAAAAATGTAAAAATGAATTTTGAAACTTTGCATATAATTGGCCTTCGATGTACCATGAGGAAAAAGAAGCCAGAGACATGTAATCGTTTTCGGCTACTACGGGACACGTAACGTTTTTACGGCAGCCGCGTCGCGTACGTACGTAAGAGTCGCTTACGTTTCCAGCTGTTTGGTCCGTTGCCCGTTTCTCCGCACGCGCGTCGTTGCACGTAATTGTAATGCGTCTGCTGTTACAGCGTCTGTTAGCGTTACAACGTCATGTTAATAAAAGCTGCCAATGCGCGCGCGATGGAATTGTTTTATTTCTCTGGTTGCTGTTGTTGTTGATGTTGATCTTGTTGTTGTTGTTGATGCTGTTGTTATTGTACGCCATTTCTAATGCCTCTCTTTCTCTCATGTTTTTTTAATCAATTGTAATATATTTGCAGCTTTTTGTGTATGTGTGTTTTTATGATAATATATATTAATAGATATATAAATATATATATATAATATGATGAAATAGTGTTGCGCGCGAATTAAACGTAAAGCAAACGTGCGCGAAAGAGATCGCGATACGATCAAGATCCGTGTAATGGCGTCGCGCAGGCGCCCCGAAATGAATCCAAAACTGCACATGGACAGACAGCCAACAGCTGCACGCATAACAGGTACCTAATAGGTCTCTATCGATAAATGAATTTATCGATACATGACGATGGTATTATCAATTTTGAATTTTTCTTGTTTTGGGGGAGTGGAGTGGGTTGAGTATTAGGGGTATTCAGTGTTTGAAACCGAATAAAAAGAATCATACTTCAACGTTAAAGTGAGAACATATTTAGTCGGCTATTACCGACTGTCTGATGCTCTGATATAAGTGTATTAGGAGAGATCAGAGAAGCAGCTCGAAGGTTGTCCATATTTCCAGTACTCTTTGTCTTAGAACTGAAGTTTTTCACAGACGGACGGATTGCACAAATATCAAGGATTACCTTTCGTATCAGAGTATCTTAATACCAAAAGAAAAAAGATCTCTCAGGACAACTTTTGTGCTATATATTATTTTACTAAATACTTGTGGCCTTTTGCAGATCCATCTTTACCCGCTGGCAAGCGTCGCGAAATCGATAACGTCATGAAGAAGGCACGTGCGAACACCACCAACGATTACTGGGACAAGAAACTCATTGAGGCGGAGGAGAAGGATCCGAATCGATGGCGTCACACTGGCTACAAGAAAATGTACATTCAGGGCGAGAGCAGCTCGGGCGGCGAAAGTGAACGCGATGCGGCCCAAGCCGTTGGCGCCTATGCTCCTCGTTATCATCCGAGTGGTGGTGGTGGTGTTGGTGGATCCATACCCAGCTCCGGTCTGCCGCCGCCCTCATCGTCCTCCTCATCCGTTGCAGCCGCGGCGCGTTATGGTCGCTCCAGATCGCCGCATTCGCGAAGTCGCTCCCGTTTGCGCAAATCGCCGCCCTTGTCGCCGCCGCCGCCGTCATCGGCGTCGGGGCATTCACGTCGTCGCTCGCCGCCGCCGCAGTTTATGGAGCGGAGGTCGGTCATGTCGCCGCCATCGCCGCATCACAATTTGCCGCCGCCACTGCTGCGTGGCCGACCACGTTCGCCGCCGATGCCACCGCGCAGTTTGGCGCCCCGCTCGCCCAATCACGGTGGTGGCAGCAGCAACAGCAGTCGTCCGGGCAACGGTCACGGTCGTCCGCGTTCGCCGCCGGAACCGCTTGCCGGCGGCTCTTCATCGCAGCTGCGTCGCAAGCCGCCGCCAACGACAAATGCGTCGCGCTCCCCATTGGGCAGGCGTCGTTCGCCGCCATTGTCGTCGTCGTCGGGCTTGGATAAACGTGGCATGGGCTCCGGGCACATTCTGCCACGCTCCAAGCGTCCACCCTCGCCGCCACCCAGAGTGAGTATTCTAAATATATTTCCATATATTTACTATTATCTATATTGTAAATGTTTAATTCTATATTATCAGCATTCGATGCGCTCGCGTTCCAACAGCTCGATGAGCAGCAGCTCGGATGATTCCTGTTCGCTCTGCTCGCCCAGTCATCGTCACAGATCTCGGTGAGTATCAATTGCTTATCAGCTATTAATTATCGTATTAACATATTTCATTTATCACACACAGCTCTCGCGGTCCGCGTTCTCCTCCTCCGAAGCCACGTGGCCATTATCGGGGCGTTGGAGCGCCGTCGTCTTTAGCGCCGCCGCCCGATTCGCATGGTCGGTTGCATGGACGGCCGACAACGCCGCCACCGCCGGTGCGTGGCAGTGCCGGGCTTGACAAGTATCGCGACGCCAAGATGCGTGCCCAAGTTGGTCACGATGCGCGCGGCGGCTCTTCGGATCGTGCGCATATGAAAGTGGGTCGCGTGTCGCGTCATTCTCCGCCACCGGAGGATCCGCGTCTCAAGCATCGCCCGCCAGAGCCACCAGAGCCGGCAACGGCGGCAACAGCCGGCGCTCCACAGGCCAAGAAGAAAAAGAAGGAGAAGGAGGTACTTGAATATAAATATATTTATATACTTTTCTGCAATTTGAGTCACTTGTTAAATGGTTTTCTACTTGCAGTTGCGCACGCGTGTCAAAATCGAAGGTGAGAAACGAAAGAAGCATTCGAGTGCTGCGACTACAACGACGAGTGCCAGTGCAAGTGGCAATGGTGGTGGTGGCAATAACTCATCATCCGATTCGGATGATTCGGGCGGTTCCGATAGCGATGAGGCGGCGGCAACAGCACCGGCCTTGCCCTCATTTTCGGCAACGACGCGTCTAACGCTATCCGAGCGATTCGGCAAAATGGCTCAGTGGAGCATCGATCGCAGCAACATGGAGAATATGCGCATCACCAAAGATTCGGCTGGTGGTGCGCTCAAAGTGATGATCGAGGAGGGCATGGAGTCGCCCCCACGTCGCTACTCGTACTCCCCAGCGCCGGCTGGCCACTTTCCCGAGGAGTTGGCCACAACAGCACCGTCGGGCATGCTGTCGTGGGACGATGTGCGCGTCCGTTACGAATACTACAAGAGTCGCGGTTACTTGCGAGATTTGGATTTAAAGGTTAGTCCAAATGGAGTTTTAATCTTTGACAGATTTACAACAGATTTGACCTTGTCTCTTGCAGGACTACATCAAGTGGGAGGAGTGGTGGTATAAATATCAGGAGTGGTTGAAACAGGAACGCTATTACGAGTACTGGGATCGCAGTCAGCAGATGCGACGTCGGCGCAAGAAGCTGCCAGTTACTCAGCGTTTAAATTAGTTAATTGCACATTTATTTTTAATAGAAGTCGCCACAACCCGCCCCCCATCGAGACTCCCCCGTTTTTCGATTTCATTCTGTTAGTTTTCCCTACTTGCCCCTCCCCCCACCTTCGCCCGCCCTTTTCTGTTTTATGGATTAACAGTTTGCACTCTGAAATTGAAATCGAAATTTCCCTTTTTTGTACATTTAGAATGTATGAAACGGCATTTAGTCAGCTTTTGTATTTAAAAACTAATTTATATATGAAGTATATGTGAATCAATTCGTCGCTGGATTTAAGGTGTGTACTGATCACTATATATATCTATATTTATATATAAATAAGGGTTTAATCAAAATTTCAACACAGAGCATTGTAATATTTCAGTTAAATATTTTCTGTGTACGTGTTATATTTTATTTCAGGCAGCAAGAGACATTTGTAAACGCATTAAATAACCTACATAAAGATCATAAATAAAAGAAAAGAATATAAATAAAACTTGGATTTTCTAAATTATTCGATAGCATTTATAAGTCATGACACGAACCATGTATGTTCCCATTTAACTTGCATCCCAGTTTGGTTTACGTTAACATTGGTGTGGTGCACTTGTTAAAAAGGGTGTGTGTACAGGCTATGCGTAATAAAGCTCCACCAAAGCTTTTGAGGGTTAATGTTTGAAAGTCGAGATTTATTTCAAGGTCGACATTTGCATAATTTACGTACACAAATAAATAAAGGACTACAACGCCTTTGACTTGGGTTTATGAGTGTAGTGGGAATATGTCGCGGATGTCAATGTCGTGACACGTCACGGAGAAATATGTACGCTTGACGGCATATAAATTGAAAAATTCACATATAAAAATATGTAATTATTTGGCATGTTTTCAATTTACGCAAACCAAAGTCGTTGAAATTGCGGCAGACTTGCCTGCCTTTTAAGGGTGAGTTGCTTACAGTACTTGATGGGGGGATGGGCTGCTTCAGGTTGTGTAGATATGCCAATGTGTTGATGAATCATGAACGGAATCATGAGATTTCCGTTACACAAATTAACCGCTTTGCAGGAAGACGGCTAAATGATAATAATAATTAGATGTTATGTTAAATGCTACGCTCATTAGCGAAAAATTACTGTAAATCAAATTTGATGTATTTATGATTTGGGTATAGCTTTAAAAATAGGTTTTTGTGATTTTGTAATCTGTATTTTATTTGAGCAAGAGTTGCTGCTTATTTTTTGTAATTTATTTTTTGTTGAAAGTGTTGTGATTTGATTTCAGTTGAATTTTAACACTTAACTTAGTAATTTGTCTTTAAGTACAGACACATTATGCCATTACATTTAACTCTATAGTCTAATAATTGCCTTTGGCACTTGGTGTCTAACCTCAATCTGAGCCCTGCCTCCAACCAGACCACCTCCCCACAGGCCATGCCCCAGTACAATTATGTCTTAAGCAGCAACAACAGTGTTAAGAAGGCTTTAAGCCACCCGCCCTCATTTTCACAAAAGGAGCGAGAAAAACTTGAGGAAAAGTCACGTCTAATTACACACATCTCAGAACAGCGTTTTGACCTGGTTGCCTCAACGGGGAAATAGGGGTGGAGAGAGGGAGAGTGTGGGACGATGCCGTTGCATAGAGTTTCTTATATTTTACCAAATTGGTTTTAAAAGCCACAATGATGCGTGTGGTAGGAGGGGGGGAGGGAGAGTGTGAGAACGTGAGCAATTATTACGGTTAAGTAGCAGAGAGAGTGTCAGACTAACTTGCACAATCTAAGCGTGTATATATATATATATATATACATATATGTATTCAAGCCTTCTATAATCCACACAAATTCTATTATATGTAAAAAATACAAATAAGTGTCAAGGAATAAACAGAGCGAACAAGTCGCGTTGACAGCTGTGACAATGTGCGCCCTCTGGCGGCCGACAACAACAAACGGGAATAGAAGTGTTGTCCCGACAAATGTGTGTACAAATATCTCGGGAGTCTTGCAAAAATTAAAATCATTGACTTTGAATTGACGGCAGAAATCAAGCGATGCATAAAAAAACGCCCGCAACCGATAGTCGTCGTCATTAAGAAACTCTATTTGAGTCGACCCAATCACGCACAAAAGGCAGAGAAAGAGAGAGAGAGAGAGAGAGGCAGCGATAAAAGGTGAGAAGCGGGTCGGAAGAGGAAGCAAAAAGACTTGTGAATTAAGCATTCCTTTCAATTAAGTGCGCAACCGACAAAAAGGCGTGCAAAAACGCCAGCGTCCAACGATATTTTCGTTTCAATAAAAATCAGGCAAACTGCAGCCAGGGCTGCAAGGCAAGCGATAACATTTACATGCGTTTAGATCTTTTAGGATATGCAAAAGTACATATTGCAGGTTGAGTTACACTCTATGTGTATTTAATACAAAATGTAATTTAAACTATAATGACAACAAATATCGAATCGAATTGATTCAGTTCATTTTGAGTTGAGCCTGCAGCCCTGGTTGCACTGGCACAAAGTAACAGTAATGAAAACGTTGCATACGTACGGGCGCATCAGCCAAACTACATAAATAAACGCTGAACAGATAACGGGCCATGTTGCAATGGGGCAACGTTCCTTTTTTTTCCGTTTCCGGTTGGAGTGTGAGGTTTGGGAGTAAGGACGAATGGCGGGGGGGGGGGGGGGGTGGTTGCTCTAAAATCAGCAGCAGCGACTGTAACAAGTTTCGTGTTTCTCTTTACAGTTCTTTGCTTTTTGTATTTCGTTACAGTCAATCAGTTTTGCATGAGCGATTTCTTTACTCGTTTGCGCCAACTGTACAATTTACTTACTGCATGCTACGCCGAATAGGGCACGCCATGGGGCATACACACACACACAAACATGTACAGTTGCGGTCAAAATAAAAGTAGTGCACCCATATGTATTGGAAATTGCTAAAAAAAAAAGTAATTAAATTATAGTTATACAATTGTGCAAATTTTATTTAAACACAAGTATTCAATACTGAAAATAAGTAAAAATATAAAGATGGCAACGCTACAAAACTAATTACAAAACAAAAATATACAATCATTATTTGTTTTACAGAATTGAATTTTTCTTCTTCTTGAAGATGTTGAAGAGGTCTCGATTTTATCACCAACAAATTAGTCATATTTTAATTAAATACTTTGAGAAACAGCACTCCTATTATTTTGACCGCAACTGTATTACATATTACGGTAAATGTGTAGTTGTGAGTCGCTTTACTTACTCCGCTGCCGTAGTTTCGAAACGAAGTTAAAGCGAGTAGCTTGCGCTGCTCTTGGATTTACTTCTAGCTTGTTTGTGCAAAACTTGCTGTGTCACGGTTTGCGCAAACAACAGCAACAACAACAACAACAACAACACATATGTTTTCTAATGATTTTAACTTTACTCCGCGCATAGTTGGCAGTTGCAGTTCCAAAAACATATGTTTTCTGTGAATGTGTGTGTGTTGTGTGAGTTGGCAAAACAATTAACAATTAGGTTTATTGAGCGAAAGTTAGAAAAAGGGGAACATTGATTGGCAAGCAAAAGCATTAATCGTTTTTTTTTGAGCAAGAAAAGCAAGAAGCATTTATTGTCAAATACAATTCAAATAATATTTTATTCTTTAAAATTGATCAAGAAACACACCCGTGTTGATTGAAATCACAGCTCGAATTTTATTCGGATCTTATCGATTTGAAATCGCTTCAAAAATTAGCCACAATTTGTGCCAATTTGCAGCTTTGTCTTTGGCTACACTTCGTGCGCTTGAAAGCTTCTCCAAATAACCACTCTCTGTAATTAAAACCTCAAACAATCAAACTGAATCCGATCTGATATCCCTTCCACAACCCCTAGCACACCAGGACCCGTCTTCTACCCATCGCCACACACAGACAAATATAAGAAAAACTTTAGACACGTAAAGATTTTCACACGCACTTTGAGCTGGAGTTTTTCGTTACTGTATCCGAACAGACGCTTCATCGTTGGGTTTGTCTTTGATTTTCGTTAGACCGTCCATCGACGTGATATTTGCTTAATTTTTGGCCATGGGGGCTGGGGGATTTGGATTGGGGATTCAGTTCAGTTTGCACGAATAATTATTTGCCCATTTGGGATAAAGTTTTCCAGCAGCAAAACAGGTAATTTTCGCAAAACGATTCGACCCAGCAAATGTGGAGATGTCGATGTGGATGGAAATGTGGTTGGGGATGTCGATAGCAGGCCATCTTCTGCACACTCACCGTGTCCGGGGAGTAGACGAAAACAATTAGAATCGAAAGCAAACGAAGCTAACCGGAATCAACACACACACACACAAACAAATCGGATATCAGTCAGTTGATTTAGATGGAAATCAATCGGAATTTTCATGTTACATTTTTGGTTTGTCGATAGACAACACATGAGTGTCATTGTATTTAAGCAAAAGTTCCTCGTCTACTCAGCAAAAGTGCTTAAATTGTTGGCTTAAAACGCTAACCAGTTTCTTGAGAGAAGCCCAAAAAGTGAATGGGAATAAAGTGTGTGCCTATCTCTCCCTCTCTCTGTCTCTCTCGCTCGCACACACTATACATATTTGTATCTCTATTCAGTTTACAGTTGCTTGCTGTGCTTGTTGTTATATGCTGCTTTATTTATTCACACTTAATTCTCATGTTTCGTTTATTATGTGCGGTGTTCTATAAATAGCTCAGTTAAGCACTCGGTACGATCGTCTGCTTTTGTCGCTTGCTTGCTTAGCTTAGCTATCGGAACAGCCAAGCATCTGGTCAACGGTCCTGTGGCGCAATGGATAACGCGTCTGACTACGGATCAGAAGATTCCAGGTTCGACTCCTGGCAGGATCGAAGAACTTTTTTTAGGTTTTCTTAATTTTTTATAATTTTCATAACATAAATTTAGCATAATCAACATAAACTTTAACAAGTTATCGTTAATATTCTTATGTGCATTTTTGTATCTATGAAGACTACAGTTACCTATTTATGTTTTATATAATATAGTAATGTTATTGTGTACCCAAGTATTATAGCTTTGTTGTTTTATTTGAGAATTACGTTTTGTTTTATTTCTTGTTGGGTCCCCACAATACTTTACGATGCCACACATAAAACACAAGCAAATCTCGCACATAAACCAAAACTCATCTGCAGCGCACACAAAAATGTTGTTGGTTGAATATAATTTCATTATGCCCTCCCCCACACACACCACACACCCCTCACCAATGGCCCCGCATATGAAACTGTCAACACGGCGCATTCCCATTCCCATTTCTGTTAACATTGCCCGGAGCCATGCCAGATACCGGTTTACTTTCTTAATCTTTATACATAATTTTTGCAACCTCATCTTACGCACTATCTGCACTGAGTTCCGGTGTGTTGTGATGCCCTGCAGAGGGAGAGAGGGGAGTTTGCATTCGTTGTCAAGTTTGTTTGAATGCAGAGATTATATGTTTGTGAGGATAAA